TATTTTATTATACATGTAGTTAATTATGAAAGTTAATAGTTCAATATTTATTGTGACGTACTTCAGGTGCACGTTCACTGAATGATTTATTTATGCTTACAAGTCGCCTTTCCCGTGAAAACAGGTTTACAAAACCCATTGAAGAAGTGGTTACTTTCACTATAAAAGTTGTAAATCACATTATGTGGTTTGTAAAATTCAGCATGAAATTTTATTGGTGGTGAAAAGTAAGTTACTCATCCCCCAAAAATATGTTGTAAAACCTATTAACAAAGCGGTCACTTTTACTACAAAAGTTGTAAATCTCAGTATATGTTTTGTAAAATTCAACGTGAAATTTTATTGGTTTTTAGAAACAAATTACCCATCTCCTGAAAACTGGTTGCAAAAGCCATTTAAGAAGTAGTCATTTTCACTATAAAAGTTGTAAATCTCACAGTGTGTTTTGTAAAATTCAGCGTGAAATTTTATTGATTTTTAGAAACAAGCTGCTCATCCCCTGAAAAGAGGTTGCAAAACCCATTTAAGAAGTGGTAATTTTCACTACAAAAGTTGTAAATCTCACTATATGTTTTGTAAAATTCAGCATGGAATTTTATTGGTTTTTAGAAACAAGTTGTTAATCCCTTGAAAACATGTTGCAAAACCCATTGAAGAAGTGATCATTTTCACTATGAAAGTTGTAAATCTCACTATGTGTTTTGTCAAATTTAGTGTGAAATTTTATTAGTTTTTAGAAACAAGTTGCCCATCCCCTGAAAACAAGTTGCAAAACCCATTGAATAAGTAGTCATTTTTACTACGAAAGTTGTAAATCCCACTATATGTTTTGTCAAATTTAGCGTGGAATTTTATTAGTTTTTACGAAAAGTTGTTTATCTCCTGAAAACAGGTTGCAAAACCCATTAACAAAGTGGTCACTTTCACTACAAAAGTTATAAATCACAATATGTGTTTTGTAAAATTCAGGACAAATGGTTTAATAATACTAGAAAACCAGACAGCTTCACATTCTTTGAAAATGATTTTATGCGAAGAACAGAGACAGAACCAAAAAGAGGAATGCTAGGCAATAACATTTTAAGCTATGGGAACCCATCAAAAATGCTCTATGAAGAATAATATTTAAGCTTCCTACTTGTTTATTACAGTTGATGTTACTTCAGCGACCTCTTCGACGGCAACAATCTCAGGGAGTACGAGTTCTTTCAGACAGGGCAATGTATTAACTTTCATAATTAACTACATGTATAATAAAATCTACCATTCACGTAATGAGATTTACCAAAAACCAGCAAGCATATGATAATACTGAATATAAACCCTCAAATGACAACAGTTACATTACGTAATTGCTTGCCACTATTTTCTGATTTCTGCTTCATCATTCACCAAATACTGAATATAAACCCTCAAATGCAATAATCCTGTTCCTATTTCACCATGAAGTAGCCACAAAAATGAATAATCCAAATCCTGCTATCAACTTCTACTCACTCACATAATCCTACAAGTTCACTCCCTCTCTTACTACAAATCCTCTTTCCCACAACAAAAACCCACCAAATCAACAATGTCTACAGAATAGTGATGCGGAGGAGTAAGATAATAGCATTTCCAACATTCTTCTTTCCTTCTTCCCGTGTTTCATCAGCGTCTTCCTCTTTTCTTTCTCTCACTTTCAGACAGGGTAATTTGGTCATTGGGCCAAAAATCGAAATTCTAAATTAGTACCCAGTGCCCTATTTGTCATTTTGTTTATTCAGGTGCCTTATTTGTCTTTTTAAAATTCACATAGTATTTGTCATTTTCCCAAAAAACAAAATGTGGCTTCAAAAAGTAGTGCAGAGTCAAAGTATGGAGTTGTTGCTTATTGCGTATGTAAACTAATTTGGGTTGAGAGAGTTTTGGAGAAATTAAAAATTGAAATGAAATTGCCAATGAACCTATACACCAATAGTATGGCAGCCATCAACCTCTCTAATAATCCTGTTCAACATGACACAACCAAACACGTTGAAATTAACAGAGAGAAGATTGACGGGAAACTGGTAAAATTGATACACATGCTCACGTGGAACCAAAATGCAAACACCTTTACAAAAGACCTACACAATGAATTATTTGAAAAATTTGGGCGCAAATTGGATCTGATTGACATTTATGATCCAACTTGAGGGGAATATGAAAATTTCAAAAAGCTCAGGATTTAAAGAGATATTTTCTCTTCATTGCCAATTAATTTCTTTCCTAGGATAGATGTTTTGCAGCCTCTATGTCTCTGTACATTCTCTCGACATTTACAGTGAATACACTATATTTTTGCTCAGATTACTCACAAGTTTCAGTCTTATATTCACTCAAATATTGTCGCATAAAAATACTATTGCTTTGATAACTTTTTTTTGTTGCTAGTTTTCATTTATGTATTTCAAACAATATTTCTCCTTTTTTTTTCCCGAAATCTAACTCCCATAAACAATGTTTATTATGTTAGACTCAAGGAAAAAAAAACCGGATCGGATTGGCCGGTTCAACCGGAAAATCGGTGAACCGGTCCAAAGTCCGGTCTGGTTTAAGTAGAAAACCGGTTAGCTATTGAACCGGAAAATAACCGGTCAAACCAGTATTAAACCAGTCAACCATCCGGTTTTAGGGGCTGACCGGTTTACTATTTTCCCCTCCCTAAACCCAAAATGACGTCGTCTGATGCTTGGGTTCGGTCAATTCACTCGGTCCCTCCCTCCTCCTGGCTAGACCGCAAACCAGATTCCCCCATTCCCATCTTCGCTTCGTTGAGACGTTGAGTTCGAGTGCGCCATCGAGTGTTCGACCATTCTCCCTTGCAGTTGCAGCGTAGTCGAGTGTTCGAGTTCTCTGTTCAAGTTCTCCATTCGAGTTCTCCCTTGCAGTTGCAGCGCCGTCGAGTTTGAGTGTTCGACCGTTCTCCCTTGCAGTGCCGTTGAGTTGAGTGTTTCGTTGAGTTCAAGTGTTCGACCGTTCTCCCTTGACCAAGATTCCCATTCCCTTCTTTGTTGAGTTCGTTCTAGTGTTCGACCGGTCTCCCTGTCCCAGATTCATTGCTGCTCGCCTTGCCTGAAACTAAAAGGCATCCCTCAATCTCTGGTTCAATCAATCAGATTCATACTGGCTTTGGCGCATTGGGTAAGCTCAAAAAATATTCCCTCCCCTTTCAGCTAGGTTGTGATTTTAGGAATAAATTGATAAATATCTCTGCTTTGATTTCTGCCTTTCTCCACTAGCCGAGAGGTTTGGGAAATGGGAAGTGAGGGGAGATGAAAATCTCTATCTTAGTTCAGCTTCCTGAGAGTTCTGCATTTCTGCTTTGCTTTCTGCCTTTCACCGGATTCACGAATTGCCTCTGCCTTTTGAGTTTCTCGACTAGCCAATTGTTTAGTTCTGCTTTCTCTATTGAAGCTCTGTTGCTGACTTGCTGTGTAGCTGATAAGTAGAAGTGTTCTATTTTAATGTTATTAATTAAATTATATTATTTTAATATGACCAGTTCAACCCTGGTCCGACCTCCGATCCGACCAGTAACCCTTGACCCACTGCCTCGATCGGTTTAATCCCCGGTCCGGTTTTTTGTTCCTTGGTTAGACTCTTCTGGCCTTTAATGGAGGATCTAATTAGAAAGTTGATATTAATCCTATATGTAAAACATATTTCATATATTTACTAATTTTTTTAAGTAACTTTATTGATATTCTTCCAAACAATAATTAAATAAGAGAAGAAGGGAGGAAATTAAGAAAGATGCTTGGAGTATTTTAAAAAAAACATATCTTATTAAATAATTTAATTAACATATTTAATCTACTCAAATTAATTAATTAATTTTTATATTAAGAATCAAAAGAGTATATTTTATTTTTTTTAAGAAAAACGGTTTCCAGCCATGAGCCATCATTCGAAAGCGCACTTTCAATGAGTAAGTCTCATCTTCGAAAACGGATTTTATTATTAAAAAAAGGGTTTCGAGCCATGAACCATGGTTTTTTGTTACTCTTCTGAATTCTCATGTACTTGATCCCAAAATATTGCGGGGGTATATCCATTATCCAATGCACTCCTCAAAATATTTTTTTAAAATATATTTAGTACCTTAAAGTGTTATGTGGTGCATTCAACATACTGAAGTTTTTTTTATGCCTTGAAATTAGATGTATTAAAAAAAATACTTTAAGGTATTATATAAGCAAAAAGATACTTTACCTTAAGGTACAACATATATCACAAAATATTTTAAAGTACTAAATGTATTTAAAAAAATATTTTGGAATACTGGATATACCGTCACCCAAACATTGTAGATGGGAAAATTCTAGATTCCTCTAATTATGTGTATGCATGCCTGGATATTTTAATTATAATTAGCATACATTTAAGTCATTAACCAGGCACAAACATGTGATCAAAATTAAGTATAAAACTAAATATTGATTAATTTTTCTCATGTCAAAATCAATTTGATAGTTAATTTAATTTAATCTTTCATGAAATAGAGGCTACCCTACCTCCCTTGACAATTCTCCTTCCAGTGAAACTGCTTAAATCCATTCTTTCGGGGTTTTAATCCAAAACAAACCTATCAACATCTATCTGAATTTTATATTTGGCACTTCTCAAAGAGGGATTGAATGTTTTTGATTTCAACTGTTGAAAAGTTATGAAACTATGATCTGTTTCCTTCATGGAGCAGAGGATATCCTACCTCTCTCAACAGTTTAGATATGTATATAAAGCATAACAACTCATCGTGGGCAGAACGGTAAATATCGCTTACTTTCACCAAGCAGGAAAAGGGTTTGATTTCCTGTCGTGGCACTTGGGAAGGCATGCCGTACCCAGGCGAGGCACGTAAAACGTCCCAGGTGCTGGATTGGCAGGCACCCTACCCTTAGTTTGGGGTGACCCCAAATACCCACCTAAAATTTAATCACAAAAAAAAAAAGGAGCATAACAAGAGATGTCTCAGGTGGTATACTCCAGTTTGCAATATTGGAAGCCCGTCGGGGGTAATACAAGCTTAATTACAAACAACTGATTCAGCAAACAGCAGTGGAATTACATTACTCATTTCAGCAAAATGGTATGACCAACGTTATGATACAAAACTTCGATGTGTACCTTTTCCTTATTATGAAACGTGGTCCTTCAATGTTACCGGTGCACGAGAAAATTCTAAAGCCCAAAAAGCTATGTAAGGAATTTTATAATCGAACCTTCAGTACGACGTAAAAGTTCTAATCTTCAAGCTCAATAATCTTCACAACTGAAGAGTCACCTACTTTCTGGCAAACAACAACTCGGTCATGGGGCTTAATGATGCCAAAGGCCTTGCCATGATCTAATGCAACCTTCAAAATTGATTCATTTGTTGCACTAGTAGACTCAGCCTGCACCAACAAGACAAGGCAAGGGTATTACATCTATTTTCAATTTTTGCATAGGTAACGATGCAGTATGAAATGATGATGATGATGATGATCCAGGAAGCATAGATATCGAAACAGACACATGAAACAAGATTAGCACAGATACAACATGACGAATTCTGAATTGTTCATGCATCATTTGAGGAGCCACATTGTCTATAACGCAGGTGTCATACTGAGCTCCTGTTTTATATATCTTACATTATGGTAAATACAAATATGTGAAACAGTGCCCGCACCAGCGAGACAAGGCAAAAAGTTAACATCTATCTGAAATTTAGGGGGCATGTGTAATTTGGGTTTAGTCTTTCTAATGGACGATTAAGGCTTTATCGGTATATTGGAAATTTCAATATCATTTTTTGGATCTCAGGATACATTATCCCAATAGAGGACTCTTGACCTGAACTATGATTATTTGGAACTTAAGCTACAATATTTAGGTTGATTATCTGATAAATACCCAAGTGAGAGAATAGAAACGCAAGAAAACAGAGTATAAGATATGTGAATCAAGAACTGTGGATTGAGATTAATGGTGAAAATCAGAAAATCTAATGTTAGAGAACTATTCAGCTAAACCAGAGGATGAACACAAAACTAGAAAGCAACCTTCAAACAAATGGAGAAGTTAGTGTCAACTAAAAATCTATCCAAATATTTCCTGCCCTACTTCCATTCCTGCAGCTCTGCTTATTACCTGTAACCCTGTTAACATGTCTGGTTCCCCAAACCCCTTGCATTAACTGCCACGCGTCTCTCATCCCCTGCCAAAACCAGTCATACAATTCTCCCCTCCTGAACCATTGGGCCCACATTCAGACATGCACTTCAAATGCGGACTAGAAGCTGGCACTCCCATAACTATCCTCGTGGAATTAGGCTTTTACCACTGAACTTCTTAAAGGAGGTTATTAAATGCACCTATTGCTGATCTCAATATCCTTATTTTAGTTCCACATCAAGCCATCCTCAAATACGAGTTAAAAAAATGATCAAATTGGTTAATTTCAGCGCTGCATCTAGTTCATAATGATGGTAGAATTACCGATTAAGAAGGAAGGCTCAAGAGAACAGGAAGGGACCACAATGGAAGAGAACAGTGAATTTGGAAGATAAGCACCAACATGTCACCTTAGCAAACCACATTATATCAAGTCCTGACTTAAGCCATCAAATGAAAATTACTTTCCATTGGAATAGATAGATGTGGGCAGTGGATGAAACCTATTTCGTTTTGTATTTGGTCAAAAAGATTTGCATTGGCAAGCAGATTAGAGAAGCAAAGAGACATCCCAGGACAATGGAATATAAGCAGATCAGTTATGACTTAAGATCCGCACGCATTCATTCTGCAACATTGTTAGTTTTGATTGCCAACTTGAATTTAGCCGAAAGCACCCATGACTGTGGAGACCCCATAACTTTGCGTCTATCAACTAAAGGAAAATTATAACTAGCAGATTATGCAGGGAAAAAAATGGTTTCATGTTTTGAAACAGTTCACCAACCAAATGGCTATAAGTCTAGGCCATCAACCACTTTTGTTAACCTCTACAGATGGTAGCTAGATGAAGTGGAAAGGACTTGCTACCTACGTAAATAAGGTTTTAGGTTCATCGCTTATCCATTATGAAAGGCATAATGACAGAGCTACCTATCATTAGGGGCCCAACAAATTTGACTTAGTCGATAATACCAGATAGCAGATAGCTGTTAGCCCCCCGTCCCCTCAAACCAAAAAAGAAATGTTTAACTGCTTGTCGAGTGACTTTTCGTAAACTGATCAATGCCCCTAAATAAAATACTAAAACAATCCATATTGTGGACAAGTGTGATCCAAGGTGCACTTCAGACATGTAAATTAAAATGATGACCTTCAGAGAAGCAAGCATCAAACCTAACATGAAATACTATTTCCCACTTTGAACACTGTCATGTTACTCAAACAGACCAAAGGTAAACCAAGTAATATTTAATAGGTCTTACTGGATGACGTGGATCCGCCAGCATTGGGAAAAGACCTCTAACAATAAGTGATTGCCTTGCCTGCCATTGGACAATAAATAAAAGGATTAGAAATAAAAACATGCTGATGGATAACATGAACAAGACACACACACACGTATATACAAAAAAAGAGAACCAATTTTTCTTCATCTTCATTATCAAGTAAGACTGCAAAGCAAATATTTCTTGACACAGCAATGAATGCTAACGCCCAAATATTTTTGTTTTATCAATATTTAACTTCAGTCATTTCTCGCTAGATGACTAAGAAATCAAAACAACTAAAAGTCAACTCCAGGGCCTCACAACGTCTTTTTAATTATAAACACTGAGAAGTTTAGCCAAATTCAAAAGCATTTCAAGTTAGAGACACTCATTTTGGATTTCTCCTTCCCCCTATTTTGGGTCCTTTGTTTTTATGGATATTACAGAAATTTCATCTTTGTTTTCAAAACACATACAGACTTCCCTTGGTATATGAAAATTTTACACAGACCTCTCCTAGTCAGCTGAGCATGTGTATGTTTCTAAAATTCTAGGGAGGTCGGTAAAATCCTTCTCCAAATCAAGTAAGTTGGTGTGATTTCCTCCCTGAACATATCATAACAATTTTTCAATGGAAGTTAAAAATGCACGAGAGCTTGATTTCAGTACCAGAAATTCAAATATGCTTGCCAATTGCCAAGAAAGACGACAACTTGTGATTAAAATGTTTATAGACTGATTATCTTGAACTTAATTATGGTAGAAGCCGAAATAATAATACTCCTTTGGTCTTAAATATAAGACCCATTTTATAGTATTTTGAACTTAATTATAGTAGAAGCCAAAATAATAATACTCCTCTCGTCCTAAATATAAAACTCATTTTGTAGTGTTTATACTACAAAATGGGCCTTATATTTAGGACTAAAGGAGTAATAAAAGTTCTTCAAGTTCACTAGAAGTAACTTCAGACTGGCTGTACTATTAGGCAAGCAAGTATCTCCAACTTCTGATAGCAACAACATCACAGATAAATATAATCATGCAGGCACCTGACAAGACTGACTTGACACACGACACTTAATCAAGCTGACATAAATTGGTGGCCATCATCAGGATTAAATTTCTTGCAACAAATCACTAGCCCCAATCTACCACAAAATTAAATTTTAATGAAACAACAAATGCATAAGTAATGTTAATGATATACCTCAAATGCACCAGTGAAAGTCCATCGGAGTTGATTTGTTTTCAGTTGAGGAATGACAACAGATATTACAGGCATGGTTGGTCTGTACTTCGCAATCAACCTACAGAACAAAAAAGAATAATGTAAGCACATGGCTGTTGATATCAACATGAACTGAACAAAAGATACCAACAGAAGAAATCAGTACTTTGAGCAGATGCACATGAATTTGCATTGGTAACCACAAAAATGGTAAATTTATGAACAAAAAGGGAAATGGAGATGGAAAGATGTTAAAAAGAAACCTTGCTGCTCTTCCAGATGAAGTGAAACAAATAATAACAGAGGCCTTGACCTTTATGGCCGCGCGAACCTGCATGTTACAGCACATATGAAGAACTTCCCAAAACTTGGTACACTCAAATCTCTTTGGGAAAGAAACTAGCATGATGATAGTAAGGAAAAAAGAACTAAAAACCAGGAAATCAAGAATACAGTCATCAGAGAAATGTACCGCAGAGGAAGTTATTGATTCCAAATGACTCATTGGCTCCCCCACATATTTGACAGTCTTCTTGAAATACAAATCCTGATTAAAAACTTTCTCCGCCTACACATAACAGTTGACTAATTTCAGTTAACGTTTTTCATCTTATGAGAAGGTGAAGGTTGTAGAGAGAAGAAAGCTAGTGTCTCGACACTTTCAGAGATACCATACATTAATAAAATACATCCATCAGCAAAAGGACCGTGAACAAAAGGCCAGGCTACGTTCAGCGTCTTAATGTACATAAGCCAGAGACACAGCATATTTGAAAATCAATGAAGACTGGACTTTATAAAAGATGTTAAAATGCATCAGAACAACGAAGAAGCCGTAATTTATAAATAATGCGCTCCTAGAATAAGTAGCAACCCATCCAATAAAAGACATACTTAAACGTTATAAATTATCCATGAAGCGAAGACTTCTCCTCTGAAGAACTCACCAAAAATATGAATGTGAGAGACTTGAGGCAGGAATGTCAGTCACAACTAGAGTATAAACCTACCTCTGCACAGATTTTTCCAACAGTAGAAATTGTCTCTACAGGGTACAATCCTCGCAGTGTCTCAGCCCCAAGAAGAATTGCATCACTTCCTGACCCATCAAGAAATGGATAACAAAGTTATACAAGAAAGGTGCATCACGTAACAACACAGATCTTGACTTGACAAGCCTCAATAGAAACATGCACATGTACAATGCCCAAAATCAGAATACATCAAAGAGTTTCACCAAATTAGAGTAGTTTGTGCCGGTCAAACATACAAAAGGAAACCTAAGGGGATACATGAAAAAGGAAGAACGCCTTTAGAGCATTGACTTGGAGAACCCTACAATTTTGGAGAAAGGAAAGTAGGCTGACCATAGAGTTTCTATAGCTATTATTGGGGACTCTGAGCATCACTTTTGGGTACTTTTACTAGTCATTAGGGCCTCAAATATCAGCAAGAGACCTTGCTGTGGCTTGCTGTCTTATTTTCAGAGATTTTATTCGTATTTTGAGAGAGCTCAGAACCAGTGCTGTGTTCCTCGTAATGCCGATCCAGTTTTGATTATCCAATATCAAAACCCCCGTGTTATTCAGTTTCATTGCTCTTGCGCTTCCTCTACTGTTTTATGGTCCGTATTCAGAGCAGCTTGCATCACACACACACACACACACATATCAAGCAGGATTCACTAAAATATAACAAACAAATAAAACAAAGAAAAACGAAAGCACATTTGAAGTCATAATAGTAAAATTCACCATCCAGGACTGCATTGGCAACATCAGTTGCTTCAGCACGAGTAGGTCTTAAATTGTCAGTCATAGTATCCACAACACGTGTAACAACAGCAGGCTTTCCAGCCACGTTGCACTTATAGATAGCAGCTTTTTGGAATAAAAACACCTGAAAAATTGTAGGAGACATATGCGAGCGTATAGTTAATAATATAATGTTAGACCGAAGAAGAAAATCTATCAATATGACATAACAGTTCATAACTAGCATGTAAAATCTCCAAAGAAGCAAGTCATGCATAAATTAGCATTTTGTGTTCAAAAGCATAGGCTGACCTTCTCAGGTGGGAGATCTACCCCCAAATTTCCACGAGAGACAATGATACCATCTGCTTCTCTCAATATCTCATCAAAATGCATCAATCCCTGTGGCAATTTACCAGGGGAATATGCAATTAAAAATCACAATCAAGCATAGTAGGCAAGCTCAAACAATTTACTTGCATTGTCTCTCATATTCTCATCATCATTCCCTACAACTAGCCTATCACAATAAGATGATAGCCTCATCAAAAAGTGAGCCATGTAGGAAATTCTCTGCTTATTTTTGTAACCAGAGTGTATAGTTGCAACTTGCATGGATTTTGGAATTCACCTCAATATTCTCGATCTTTGCAAAAATTTGTGCCTGTTTCAGGTCACCAAGTTTGGAGAGAAATTCACGGGCCTGCAAAATTGAAAATACAGATATATCCAATACCTTGATTAAAAAATAAGTTGAAAAACAATTTACGTAGTCAAAGTTGTTTTCCAGCTAAGGAAGATCACAAACTCAAAATTAAAACTGTAAGCACGAGTGCTGGGAGGAAATCATTCAATATCATATGTCAGGAAAATGGAGAAAAGCTATCTGGAATAGCTCTTACATGACGAATATCTTCAGCATGCCGAGTGTATGACAGTGAAAGGAAGTCTATGTTGTTCTGAAGACCCCATGTGCTTATAACCTGAGTTGATGAATTATATGTCCAAAATAATAATTAGATTCGGTGAGCTACAAGAAAGTAACAAACAGGTACTTTACATGCATGAAACTAACAGGGGTAGGATGAATCAACCGTAATCTTGTAATTTCGGCAAGCGAGAATATACTCATCTTTAGTCTATACACATACATTAAAGCTTTACAATTGCAAAACATTTTTTATTGAAAGTTCCTTTTTTTTTTTTCTATTAATCAATCTAAAAGAACAGACCTATTAGTTCCACAACCAATTTTGATCCAATCTCAACCCAAATTCCCACCATAAGAAAGAAATCATAAAAAATTTGACCATTCTTTCTCAAGAAGTAAAAGTAGAAAACAAACACAACCCCGTTCAATAACAAGGTTCTGATGCGTAACCATGTATTTACCTCCTTGTCCTTATCAGTAAGTGTAGGAAGGTCAATACGAATCTGAGAGACATGTAAAGTATACAACGTCCCAGCCAGTGTAGCGGAATTTTTTATGAGACAAGTGACATCATCACCATGCACCTCAGTGACCTACATTGTAAATGCAAAACTGTGACCACAAAAATACAGAAGAACTCTGACATTGAGAATCAGCAAAGTTGTCTCTTTTTCGAATATTGCTGACATGGAAGGTCTAACTTCACATAAACAGGTGAGTCATAACTCAATTAGCTCACACAGCATAAAAGACTTACTTTCAAATCAAATTTACAGATAAAGAGGGAAAAGAAATCAGGAGAAATAAGAATGAGAAAGAATGAACATAGTATAGAAAAACGTGAAACAAAAGGCAAGGCTTAATTGCCAAATCTACCAATGATATTTCAAGCAAAACCATAATCCAAAGAATTAAATATGTTCTACATGCAATCCTAGAGAAACATTGATCCAACCAGAACTAAAATACTAATAACTACATCCGTTAAAGATAAGAAACCATTCAGATACAAACAAGATAAAATAAAATAAAAGGATAAAAAAGAAAAGCCACCATGAAGCGATAAAAAACTATCATCACATAAGATCATAAAACTCTAAAAATATTTTTTTATCCCACTGATGCCCCGAGACCTCAATACTAGTAATAATCAAATAAAACTTAAAATTCTGAATACACACAGAGGAAGAAGAAAAATCTCACTTCCATCACAGGCATTAATGAAATTTGCCATCAGTAATATAATTTGTCCTATTTTCTTCATCAATTTTTATAAACTACCATCTTCATTGATATGCTGTATTGAATGTATTGTACATTAGTGGATTGCACACGCACATGCACAATTCATTGGGTCAAACTGTTAGAACGGTAGATTTCAAGGATGCAAAAACCAATTTGGTGTCATTGAATCATTGAAAGTCTATAAGGTCTTTGAATTTAAATATCAGAGGAAAATATGTAAAGACCATGATTGCATTTTTTCCCCCCTTAATATTTTTGGCGTCGGTGAATTTAATGAGTGGTTACAGATCACACACATGAAATATATGCCCACATCAAATATTCAGACATTGATATGGGCTATATATAATCACATCCTTTCTTCAGGCTTTCATAACTCGTATAGTTAAGTAGCCAGAACAGTACTCAAAACAATGAGTGAAATATGATTAGCACAAATATCTGCACAAAGCATGAAAAATTCCAGGCATCAAACATTGCGTTACCTCAAGCCATACAGATGTTGTTTCACTTCCTGTAAAGAGGTACTGACCAATAAAAATAGTGTCACCCGGTTTCACTGCCTGCAGGAGTATGGACACCTCAGTTATGAGAAAACCATGATGTATAGAATTTAAGGACAAAACACAAATAACCAAGGTTATCAAATTGGGATACAAATTGTGAATCAGAAAGCTTATTTTTCGAATCTTGAATTGAAACTTATTATGAATCGTAGGATTCATGAACAATTATTAAAGATGACATATAGGTAATTTTATAGAAGAGAACATCAAAAGTTTGTAGATATTAGGTTCTATACACCTCACAAAAAATTTAAAGAAAAAAAAGCCAATATATATCAAATTTCAATGACAAATAGTCCCCAAAATCAATTAGGGAATAAAAAGTTAGGGTTTTGATTGATATTTGATAAGCTGAAAGTGATAAGTGCATTAGGAAGTATTTATAGGACAGATTGCCTCCTATAAATAACCAAAAAAAAAATCAGAAAAAATAAACATCGAAAAGGTTTTTTAACGTGTTGGGTCAAATCCAGCACAACTCAACATTGCTTGAATCGCATGATTTTAGTGTGAATCACACAATTCTAGTGTGAATCGCACGATTTAGGCCACAAAAAGATACAGTGAGAGATTTGTATCTTTTATTGTCTATTTTGTCTCGAATCACACGATTCGAATCGCGAATCGTGGGATTCTAACTACAATGCAAATAACACAAATAAAATTGGACCAACAAGAATACAACCCTAAGGGCTTGTTTGGTATGAAGCAGAGGTAGGAATTGCGATTGGGATCGGAAAAGTCTACCAAAATAGTGTTTGGTAGGAGGAATTGCTTGTTATTTGGGATTGGGCAAACCCATATAGGTGAGATTAGAGAATACTATAGGGGGATTTTTTTAGACCAAAGTTCCTTCTCTTCCATCCAAATAACAAGGGCTTTCTTAATAACAAGGCTGTTATAGTAATTTTACAATTTATACTTAATTTAAAAATAAAATTAATGTAGTCATTCCCTCCAAATATTACTCCAAACCAAACATAATTTTAAAGCTCAATCCCACTCCCACTCCCACTCCCACTTTCACACCCAATCCCATTCCCACTCCCAACCATCAAAATTGAGACCCAAGTACCAAACAGGGCCAAAATGTACTACATGAATGTGAGGGAATGCGCCCTTATGATCATCCTGGTCAGGATTTAGTTTGGACAAAGCTCAAAGACTCCTTGACCATACTATCAAATGAAATAAAATTATAAATATAAATCTAAATCTAATAAAATTGTAATACAAGCTCTGATGATGACTTTAGAGAGTTATGAAGAACAAGAGGTATAAATACAAGAAAATAAGGCAATAAAAATTCCCTTGACTTACATTTTTGGCTGCCAACATGTACCTAGCTGGTTTAAACTGATGAACTGAAAGTAATTACCTCCTCAACCTACAACGCAGTTCTATTTTCTTAACACCTCTTGTTAGGATAACTCTATTATTAATGTGCGGATTCCTAAATTCTTAATAGTTCTTAAGATGGTGTAAGCAAGCCAATCAACAAAAGGGAAAAAATAGTCAGCATAATCAGTAAGTAACGAAAAGTCACCATGAAAATCAAGCAAATTAGAACTATTTCAGAAGACAATTACCATGAGGTGACCATGATTAAAAGTAGGCAGATATCAACAAATAAATCATCAGAAATTTTTACAAAAAATGAATATGATTTGCATGTAAAAGCTATGTTGACCTTTGATAGCCCATTGAAATTAACTGGTAAGAGATTTGATGTCGCTTCTTTGTTTTGATCCGGGGTTAACACAACCAAAGTCTCTGCTTGAAGGGAAACAGGGCGTTCAGTTTTATTCACTAGCAGTTCTGGACCCACAGTATCAAGCATAACCTGTAGTTGAACCAAAATTTGTATAACTGTCAGAAGGTATTTGCATTTATGGAATGTGCGTCTAATAGTAGATGCTGAGATACCATAATGATCACTGATTTGTTCAATATATCATGTGTGATTAAGTTTACATTTATAAGGAGTCAGAGGTGCTGCGTATCTTAACTTCCTTTCTCATACTCGATATGATGGAATAAGCCAGTCACTTTACTAATGTTCAATTACATTAGGAAAATTTGAGGAAAGGGCATAGATATTTGGCATTTTTAAAATGACATTTATGCCATCATTCCTTTCCTTTAAAATCATTGGATCTATGCGAAGCAATAGAGCTGGGACAACTGACAAAAGTAAGATAAAAGGATAGATTAATACACGACTAGACTGAGAAAAAATGTGGTTATCAAATTATACATTTAAGCACAAAATATTACCGTCATGCAATTTTACTTACAACAGACCTTAAACTTTTTCACACTAAAAGTGCTTCAAATAAGCTTCAAACCACAGCTAAGAGTAAAACTTACCGTGCAAGTGTGTGCCTTGTTAAAATACAATGCCTTGTTTATTAACTTCATGCCACCACTACTTCCAGCTTTGTGAATATACTTTATTTTTAAGATATTATGGGCCCTACATAAAATCGTAGTTTTCATATTTTGCTTTTACATGCCCTAGGGTGTTTCTAAGAGAAGTTCGGTTTTGACAGCTTTTGATATAAAGGATAAGATAAGGATCATAGAAAGCCAGCACCAAAGGCTTAAGAAATGAAACGATTTCTGTTTATTACAGTAGCGTGATTAAGGATAAATAATGTTGGATTTGCAATTAGTATAAGAATAAGCAGTCTCATCTATCACAATATTATTCTCATTTATGAAAACATTTAGAACTATTAAAATTCATTTGCGAGTATAGATAGGAAAAAATGCAGATTGAAGCAGGAAAGGATAAAAGTTCAGACCGAGCATCCGTGTCCAATAGCAAATAGTAGTATAGTACATTAAAAGACAATTAGCATTTAAACAAGAAATAAGATTAATACTTATTTAAGATAAAAGAGGGTAAAATGAAGTCCATCACGTGTAGGAAAATCCAAAATCTTCAATATCGCGGTTTGCTGGAAGCCCTTTATGCTTTCAATATTTAATATTATGACTATTCAAAGATATTGGCCTCTGACAATATTTTTAATAAAATAAACATTAAGGAAGATACTTGAAAGAGATTATAAACTACAGATAAAATAAAAATATCTCATATGAATGAATGCAAGTTTATGCATTTTGACAGATACTAGCAGCCAAAAGCAACATAATAAACATGCAAATTATGGCATGTTTTTTCTGTTCACAAATTATCGCATTTTACCGCACAGAGTTTCTTGGTACTCTTGATAGCAGCCTTTAAATTTTCCAATGTCTCTTGGTGGTACTCCCGATCACCCCAGGAGAAATCAAACCTTGCCACTAGCATACGTAAGAAACAAGAATAAGATGATAAAAAGATGACTGAGACACTGACTGTAGACAATATAACGCCACTATGAACAATCAAAAGAATGGCAGCAATATACAAACGGTTAAGTCATGATTTGAAATTCCATTTAAAAAGCGTAAGACACTTCAGAAGACAATCGCTTCCTGGAATATTTTCTCTTCAATTAATTCTAACTGACTGAGCTGCTTTATGAAAATACAGCAATACTAAAATTCCCAAACTCATTGTCGTTGGCTAAAAGAGAAGAGATAGTGTCATCAGAGGGACAAGAAACAGCTACTATCTATTTTTCAAATCAAGATGATCGACAATCAAAGTTTCCAATGGGAGAATACCAGACATTCCAGCATCAAGGCAGCGGGCAATTGTATCAACTGATCGTGACTTCTGACCAAGAGTTCCAACAATTTTTGTCATAGCTGGAAAGAAACTCTGCAGTTCGAAGCAGTTTGATCAAAATCAAAATTAGCAAAAACTGAAATTTTCGATTAACAAGTGCCAATATCCACTAGGAAGTTAGCATATATAACAAATAGTTTTTCTATAGCCTGAAACTCTCTGTCCAATATCCAATGTACCCAAATACTAATTCTTTTGCTGCACCAAAAGCAACGTGGGGAAAATGAATGAGCATTTCCAACCTGGAATGTGTAACTAGAACATTTGCGATCACATTGTAACTCAATCCCAATCAACTAGAATACAAACAGGACAGAGAACACTAATCCTCTACAGTCTTTGCCATCTAAATTTCTCAGATACAAAAAGCAATCTAGTATCCGAGGCTACACCCTCATCGCAACAGTGTGATCACTGCTAGTAACAAAACTGTTTACCAAATCATGATCACTCCTGAGGATCCACATCGCTTAAGACTTCGCAGGGAGGATCAGTACAGTGGAAACTACTTTTTCCACAAAAATAAGACAGCAAAATTGAAAAAGCAACTAGACTGATTGAAAAAGAGGAGAAAAAAATTCTTGCTCACAGGCTTGGATGGCTCGAGGACGGATGACATCCTAATAGGTTCCTCAAGAAGCAAAGGACTAGAATGCATTTTCGATGATCAACACCAACACGGAGGAGGTCAAAATCGTCGGAGAAGGAACAAAGACACAGCACTAATCCCGACAGAGCAGAGAAAGCCGGAAAGCCAAAGATCAGCGATTGAAATCGCGTATGGACAAAGGCAAAGTGTGCGATGAACGAATGAGAAGAGAGAATAGTGTCCAGAGCAAAGTGTGTAG